CCAACCTCAAAAATAAAAGAGTCCAATGATTTCCCATTTCACTCGTCGCTGGAACTGCTACTAGAAGATTCCGTAGACATCAGCTCCACGTCATCCTCTTCCTTCGAGTGTCCCTTCAGGCTGTCCCCGAGGCCGTGCGAGCCTAAGGTCACGGGGTTCTCCTGCGACGGCTGCCAGGAGAAGGGCGGAGGAAGGCCTTGCGATGAAGACGCTGACGACGGCTGTTGAGACTGAGAGGAGGGGTGGTGGTGGGGCGGCTGGTGGTGGTGGTGAGCCAGGGAGGACTGCTGCGGGGTGGAGGGGTGGTGGTGGTGGTGCGACGCCGGCTGGGCTTCTGGAGGGGGTGGGGGGGAGGAGGAAAAAAAGACAGGAGACAAGACATCTCGCTTTAAACGGCTGACAACAGAAATCAACAAACACGCTTGTGGACCCTTATTCAGTCCCTTTAAAACACAAGGAGAGTTTTCTCTATAGCCAAACAAACACCAATGAAACCAAAGTTCTCCTATAGGTAGGGCAATGCCCACTTTTGGTATAGGTCAAGATTTCTGGAAACCCCCCCGAAATTTGGGTTACCCGCTTGTCCTTAAAAGCGACCAAATTGCCCGATTACTGTAAACACTCCACCATACTGTCATTTTAAAAAGTGACATATGACAAAGGATATTGAGAAAAAAAAAGGAAATAAATGAAGTACCGGTATGATGCTAGAGATTTGAGAAAGGGACAAGAAAAATTGGCTAAAATGCTTCTTTTTTTTTTGCCTGTTGACATTTTATGTCTACCCGGACACAATACTTGTCATCTTGAAAGCAGAGACAAAGTTACAAAGTGGCCTCATCAGGATATCAGACAGACTCTGAGGTGGGCATTGGAGCGGGGAGCAGAGCATGTATAGCAATGCCCGGAGTGCTAGGGTGTTCCCAGGACCAAGTAATTAAGAAATCAGCCTGAGAGGAAAACTTTCTGGGAGAACAAGATAGAGCAATAGGGCTTACTCTACACGCACACCCTCCACCCTCCCCCTTTTCTTATCTTTTTAACACTGTGCCGCCTCATCTCGCCGATTGGCGATGTTTACCATCTTGTTTCTTTGGATTTTCCCCAAAATATGATGGCAAAGTGTTAACACGTATATCCACAAGCTGTCTCAAAATGATCATGCATGAAAACTATCGGCTGCACACACAAGGCATAACCCATACAAAGAACAAATTTTCAGGGCCCTAATTTTTTTCCTTATACATGTATATTTTTTGTACACATTTGGCAGCCACAAACTTTCACTTTCATCAAAACCAATTAGATGTAGAAGCTCACCCTGTGAGTAGAGTCGGGTCAGCGAGCCGGGACCGGTGGTAGGAGTGGAGGAGGAGGCTTCTGGGAAGGTTCCCATGGCAATAAAGCTGTGTCGCATCTCTAGGTCAGTTGGATACGGGCGCCGCGGGTCCCCTGTGGAGATGATGTGTAAGGCACCGTGGTGAAATCAGGCACTCGTCAAAATAATGAAATCAAAGAAATTGGCATTTTTCATGCAATTCATTTTCAAACTTTCTTTTTTTGGGTCAACACCTTTTATACCCATTAAAAAATACATTTCTATGTTGATTTTACAGAAAAAACATGGCACAAAAATTTTTATTTTTCAGTTTCCAATGGCTCTCCAGCTATGGAAATTGCCAAACTTTGGTGGCCATTTTTCACTAATTTTATCTCTGAAACCAGACAACCCTTGAATCGCAAATATTTTGACTTCTATTCAAGATAGATGGATATTTTTTTCACCTAGAGCAAGCCAAATACACAGGCTTTAAGATGATACCAATAACCCCATATGCCCATAAATAGACGAGTTCCTGATTCCACCACGTCGTGACACATATGGAAATAGAAGTTACATCATTTCACCAATAGATAATATTTTTTCAATGTAACACAGTTGCCTCAAGTCTGAATCCGGATAAAAGTGTCCTAGAACCAAAATTCTGGTTGAGAAAGTGCAACCAGAGGGTGGTTGGTGGGCACTCTGATGGGGTTTGATCCTTTTTCCCTATCTAACATCGTACTATAAACTAAGACTGTGTACGCCTCCTCCGCATTTTCATATTTCCACATCTCTACAAATTTCTTAAAACACTATGATTCGTTGTAGAATCATAGCTCAGAAATCCCACGCAAGATCTCCCTTTAGTTTATTTTAGTAAGAGTTTTACGGCACTTGAAACACAATATGGTCATATAATAAGTACCGAAGAATAGATTATGTGTTACAAGAGAGTAACATACACAAAAAAGGAAGGAGGGGAGATAAGGACGACAGATGTTTGATAGGAAAGAAGGAGCAAAGCAAACCACACCAGAGCACCCGCCAACCACCCACGAAAGATTCCCGCCCTACCTGGGCCCCAGGTCGGAGGCGCAGCAACAGCGTTGCTGGCGCTGATTCTGTGCGCGTACTTAATGAGGTCTTCCGAGGGCACTTTGTTCACTTTAGCCTGTCGGACTGCGGCCAGTTTTTGCCTGGCTTGGTAAACAGCAGTGGCCTGAGGGGGATAAAAAAATATGTATTTTTATACCGTATTGCTTTGACCAAGTGAAACCGGTTTGTTTGCTTGTTTGAGAAAAGAGAATTATAAATAATAATAATAATAATAACAATAATATTAATAATAATAATAACAACAACAACAATAATAAATAACAATGCTACTACTACTACTACTACTACTACTAATAATAACAACAATAATAAATATCAATACGAATAATAATAATAACAACAATAGCAATAATGAAAATAATAATAAAGGTAATTTAGAGCTGAGAAAAAGTAAGATAGACAGAAACAGCTAAAGGAAAGTAAAGAAATAGGACCCACTAGTGGCGTTCTCCAACCACCCACCTGGTGAGACTGGTGGTACAGTCAGTATATCTCTCTCTAGGTTTTCAAATTTTACTAACAACTCCTAATTTATAGCCCTTATCATCACACTAAACGACTGGGAAGAGCAAACACAATACAGTAAAATTTTACCTATTCCAGGATAACATTTTTTGTCTTTTGTTAACTTTTTTTCACAGCGCTCGAAACCACATAAGGTCATAAGTCATATATGAGCCTGCGGGACCCATTTAACATTTTCAGTTGGGTAGGAATTTTGAATTTTGCCCTGATGGCAGCCAAAGACTACTCTAATCAATTTTACAACCACCAAGGGATCTTTAATGTGCGCAACTTGCACACGGGACCTCCTACATTTCTCGCCCTTATCCGAGAAGGCTAGGTGTAAGACCTTTCAATCCATAAGATAATGGGTGTGGCTGAAAGACAACTGTACGAAGGAGCTAAAGAGTAGGAGTAGAGTCAGGAGCCCAGGAGCCCAGAGGAGGGGACAAAAGGGTGGGGTGGGGGGTAAGGGGAGAGGGCAGAAAGAGAGGAAAAAAGTAGACATCAGAACATGATTAGAGAGCAGGAAAGAAGGCGAAAGGAGAAAATTGTAGAGAAAATAATTTTTCAGCTCTATCGGGTTTTGAATCCGGGACCTATTTTGAAAGAGAGGCAAACACTGTAATCTCTAGACCACGAGAGCCTCCAGATAACATTTTTAGAGGGAACAACATGAACAAATAGGAAACGTCTAAAAACGGTGTTACAAGAGAGTAACAAACATATAAAAGAAGAAGGGGAGATAAGGACGATAGATGTTTCATAGGAAACAAGAAGCAAACCACACCAGAGCACTCACCAACCACCCACACCTAAGCTGTAAAACTAATGTTATAGCATAGTATAACACAATTTGTCTTTCTCTTCTCGACTACGCTCTGAAGCTCTTACTTAGTGACAATATCAGCCACCATAACCCAGAATCACCTTTATTACTGCACTGAAGAATAAACAAAACCCAATTTGGTTGCAATTTACATGACATGATCTGATTAACGTGCATAAAAGCCAATCTACAGCATGCAAATTCAAACCACCAAAACATGCTCTTAATGATTTCGAAACGGTAAGACTGATGATAACACAGCACACACAAGTCTATTCAAATCGTGCCATACCATGATAGTTTCCGCTTCCTTCAGTGCTCTCTGCAGCTGCCTGATTTCATTGTCCCTCTTTGTAACTTCAGCTTTCAAAGCATCTATCACTTTTTGAACTTTCTCTTGTTCCTCAGCTATAAGAAAGGGATTTAAAAAATGAATGTTAAAAGCATTATTATATATATATATATATATTAATAAATAAAAACAGTCAAACCTGTGTAAGACGGGAACGCATTTGTCAAGGAGACAAGTCGCCGTAAAAGACAGGTGGCTGTCATACACAGGACTGATCAAAATGAAGAAAACAAACCATTTACTTACGGGCTCCCAACTGGAGGTGGTCACAGGCTTAGGACTGCCATAGGGCTTATTAAAATCTTTTTTTGTTCTTTTGAAAGGGGGGAGAGAAAAGGTAGGTTTTTGTTGGACATTTTGTTAATGTTTTTTTTTTTTTAATTTTAATTATGGCTCCCTGAAAGGTCAAAACAAAATTAAATGTGTCAGACGAGGACATGAGGAAGGCCAAGCGGCATAGAAAAACAAACAAATGGGTTTCCACCACTTGGCGAGTTTGTGGTAACTTCCATTGTTAGGGACTGAGTTTACGGACTGAGTTGTGGGCGGGGCTTATAGTTTTAAGGACCACACACGAAACACGCTTCTCTTACCAGCAGCTGAAAATTTACTGACACCCGTTGGTCAACTTGGGTAAACATTGAGAGCGACCAAAGCAACATGACCATTTTATCCATTGGAGTAACTGACAAAACCAGCAGGTGAATGAATTATGACGGCTCAATTTTAAAGCATAAAATCTTTTTAAATTTTAAGTGAACTGAGGAAATACAACAATTTTGAAAAATTATAAAAATAATATCATATTAATTAGTTATTGGGGTTACACCAGGAACATAAATTTCATGCTTCCACAAAACACTCCTTGCTTTGCAGCTAGGATGCCAACAAACTTTGCAAATAAAAGTCTGAAATCCTAATTAAATTATAAAACAAGATGTCTGATTTTTTGTTATATTTCCAGGAATATATTCTATTCATTCGAGCCCAAGCATCTCATCTGTAAATCAAGAATTTAATTAACAAACCTGTTTACAAATAACCTATTATTTCAAGTTCAGAACGACGTTACCTTTAAAAATAAAACAAAAATTACCCAACCACTCTCATCCCTCAATATAATTCTCAGTTTCCTTTTATAGTAGCAGTATCAGCAGTGCACAATTTATCATCATTTTAACACTCACAAGACTTCGGACAGCTTCCAATGTTACACAGAATTATAATAATTGTACCTGTCTTGATCAGCTCTTTCAGTTCATGGTCTTTTCCAATCAACAAACTCATCAGGTCAGCAGTGTCTGGAGCATCCACTTTCTTCTGAGACTTGGGCAGAGCAACTTGCTCTATTAATTCCCTGCAAATTAAAGAAAAGACATGCAGGTGGTAGGGGAAATGAAAAAGCAGACAGACTGGCTGGTGAGGCCACCTCAGATGACAACACGGAATTATTCTTTATAAAATACATGAAGTGGCTAGATGTCAAGCCTAGTCGTCACAAGATAGATGCGACTAGACGTAGAATGACGCAAACTATTTTTAGGTATGGTGGCCATCTTGTGTGACGTCAGACCGGGATACCCCTCCGATCACGTGACTACGGTTTACTTTTAAGGACGACTAGACAAGCAGCTAGCCTAAACGTAGAATGATGCACTTGCCTGATTGGCTGCTTATTTTAGTAATGTGATGTCATCACATCCTGGTGTATACCCACGGACTATTTTTAGAAGACCATGGAGATACCAAAGATTCTCTACTACACTACACACTACACGATCTTTGGAGTATCGATGTGTTTCGCATGGTAAAATTTCACACTTGCAGTTAACTGTAGCACGTCAGCCAAGCTCTGGTAATGGAAGATCATCAGATCGTTGATGCTCAGAACAGTAAGAATGCTGATGCTTGAAATTGAATAGCAATGACAATGAAAAATTATCATCCAAATTGCTTAAAAATGGGCTTAAATGAAAATAGAGTAAATTCTAAGAACTATGGTTTTTAAATTTTAAAAATCCATTGATAAATAAAAAAGTTATTGGGATTTTTGTTTGCAAAATGTTGGAGGACCTTCATATAGGAAAAAATCGCCAAAATGTGGGACATGTTTTGATGTATTTTGAGGAAAAACTATTCATAAGTCAGTAATGAATTGGAGCATATGAATGAAACTTGGCATCTCCATGTGATTTTTAGTGCCGAATCTAGTTCTGCTATCACTTTTTCGATGTCTTCATTACTTTGGATCTTAAAGACTGATATTTGCGTGAAATTTGTTGAATTGCGTGACATCGTTTTTACCGCAACGCGATCACCCCTTCTAAAACTCAGTAAAGCGCTATCGGGAAAACCCTCGATGTAGTCATCGGTGACCCATTTGGTTATAGGCAGCCAATCACATGCCGCCTTGCGATCACACGCCTCTTGCATGCCGCCACCTCGCGTTTGGAATGCGCGATCAAGTTTCTAGATCTAGTGTTTTATCAATGGATGGGTGGTAATTTTAAGTTGGTACGGAAAATCTACTAAACGCAGAGATCGGAAATTTTACAGCAATAAAGAAGACATGTGGGGCGCTTGTGTGGTCGGCGATCAACCCGCAGCTCCGCTTAGTTTTCGAACCGCAGAGGAAATTCGCACAAACACGGCAATATCTCCGGTTCTAGTAATCGTTCGGGATTGTACGCTGGCATTTCGTTAGTTTAACCTTTCCTCTGGTTGGTTGCCGAGTTTCATTTATTTTCGTCCAGGAGTTTTCCCGTAACTAAACTTAGAAGAGAGTCACTTCTGATTCCGAGCGGCCCAAAAAATACCCCTCGCGCGGAGGCCGATTTCCGGCCCAAGGCGCAGCGGGCGATTGGCATTGCTAAATTGAAACACGGGAAACGCTAAGACAAAGCGCAAGAATATTGCCGTAAAGACGCAAGGAGATCGCCACCCCCACCCCCCCCGGGCCCGACAAACAATGCGCAGAAGAGATTATAAGCAGCAGCATCATCAGACATTACCGGTAGGCTCCTTACCGGTACGTCTCCTGGAAAAATATCACACCAAAACGTCATGCCATGATAGACACGATCTTTGGTGCCATGTGTTGGCTTTTTTATCATATAGTCACGTGATCGGAGGGGTATCCCGGTCAGATGTCACACAAGATGGCCACCATACCTAAAAATAGTTTGCATCGTTCTACGTCTAGACTAGCTAGTCGCATCTATCTTGTGACGACTAGGCTAGCCGGCTAGCCACTTCATGTATTTTATAAAGAATAATAAACAATACTGTATCACATATATTATGGCCACCTCTATTCTCCCCCGGAGTGAGAATAGTGCAGGCGAGTCGTGGCTATTCTCACCCGGTGCGCGTTCACCAAATTTTGCTTTCACCCTAAACCACAGAATTCTACACTGTGATAACAGAAAAATTGTACAATTCTGTGCCGTGAACAAACGTTCCATTACAACTGTAGCCTATTAAAAGCGTACAATTTTGTCTGTGGGCAATGGAGAGAGAGAGAGAAAGATAGAGAGGAGTAGCGCGAGAATTTCTGGGCAAAACAAAATGGCGACCCGCGTAGTTCGGCTCGATTCGAAAAGTTAAATAGCCGTAGCATCTTTGTAGACAACCAAATTAATTTACTTTTGTGTTTTAACATCATTTTTTAAACTTTGTTTTGGTCAATTTGATCGTCCACACCGATAGACAGACAGTATTCAGAAAGAGACAGAGAGAGAGAGAAGAGGGGAGGAGTTGATCTTGCGAGAACTTCCGGGCGGGTGAGAATAGCCACTTTCTATAATATACATAGATTCTATAGATTATATACAGTTTAATAAAAAGCTGTGGTTCTGGCACAGGACAGGCTCACACACACACACACACACAATCACAAACACACACACAACAACAACAACACACACACAACTGACACAACAACAAACACACACACTCAACATAGGCCTAAGGCTAAGTTAAGGAGAGCTTCAGCCACAAACTTTATGATTTGTCAACAAAAGAATAATGAACGAAGTCCCCTGCAAAAAGACCAAAGGTCTCAACAAATGCAACAAACTAGAAATAACAAAACGAAGAAGAATCCCATCTTTGTTGTTGGAAGTACAGGAATGGATTGGACTTGAAAGTTTGGTGACATGGTGCCATGATGATTGTCGATGGACTAAGATCATGGAGCTATTGAGATGCACAATATTCAAATTGAATAAATCAGAAACCTGACCCTTTCAAACCATCGGGGTATCATTTATCTTACTTGGAAATGACTTCCAAGTCATCGATAACTCCGTGAATCCTTTGCCGGGTGCTTGATTCTGACGCCATCTTTGTTAATAATGCCAGGTACGTTTTGGCGTCATGCTGCAGTCATGCAGAGTGCAGAGATTAATTTAAAAACTGATTTTTTTAAAATCACAAACTAACAATATTATTATTAGATCTATGTTGCCATTCATATTATAGATCTAAGTATTTTATGGCTGAAGCAGTTATTCTTCAAGATATATAATGTATTTTTGCGACAAATAAGTATAATGCTAGATTTTGTTACTGAACAAATTGGTATACATCAAGGAGTTTAGAACTGTTGTTTTTTCCAGATTGTAAATTTATGTGAACACTCGTGGACAAAGTGGCATATTTGAAGCTTGCTGGTGAATGTAAAACTTGGCATGAAAATGGTGCAGTCATACGCCACGAAAAAAAATTATAGATTGTGTTCCCGCCTTCTCTCTGTCTCTCAACACGTGGGAAGGATCAGAAGTGGGGGGGGTATAGAGTCTCTGTATTCTGTACGTGTGTGTGTGTGTGTGTGTGTGTGTGTGTGTGTGTGTGTGTGTGTGTGCGTGTGTGTGTGTGTGTGTGTGCGTGTGTGTGTGTGTGTGTGTGTATGTAAGAGAGAGAGAGAGAGTGTGTGTGTGTGTGTAGTAGTAGTAGTAGTATAGGGTTTTACGGCGCTCGCAACTGCATAAGGTCATATGAGAGCTGTGTGTGTGTGTGTGTGTAAAAGGGGAGAAAGAAAGAAAGAGAGAACATTTGAGAAGAGGGGTAGGAACGAGAAAGAATGCCAGAGATAAAATAGGCTGTATATCAGGGGCGGTTTGTTAACGGGGCAAGACCGGCGTCGCCGGTCAGATTTTTGTCAACTGAACTGTTGACTAGAGGTTTATTGCTGATGACGATTTTCATTCATTTTTAAGTAAATCCAAACAAACATGTATCAACATTAAGAAACACCTTGCCGATTTGAATGCGCTCAAATAGACAAGTGGGATTCTTCCCTTTCCTCCCCTTTTCAACCTTCACCCCAGCTAGACACCAAGTTCTATAATTAGCATTTGACACACTTCCCCACT